CTCTTACTCATATAGTGCAACAGATAATGTGGATATTGTCTTAGATAAATGAGGTCTAACTACCTCAACCTTGCTCCAGTGTATTATATGGTGACAACCAGAGTGCTGTGGCATTGACAATAAATATATAGACCTATCAGAAAGTCAAGCATATCCACATTTGAGAACATTTCATTAGGGAGCTTATGAAGGATGGTGAATTGTATGTCACGTTTGTTTAAAGGAATGCAAAATCTGCAGATATGTTTATCAAGCTCTTGTCTCTTACCTTGAGATGCTCAACATCATCCCAGTAGATTGAATGGATATGAGAGAGTGTTGGAGAATATCCATATATTTCATCTTATCTTACTTTTCAATTACTTATTCTATTTACCTTATATATACTTACATCTCCTATTATTTTCCAATCACCTATATAGTCTAACTGTTTCTATCTGTATGCCTCAGTTGCTTCACTCACATTTTGCCCAACTGAGGTGTATATATCTCTACTGTGCTTATGACTATAATACTTACATTCATTCATAGATACTCATATATATTCTTCTGTCAATAGATACAATAGACTTAATACAGTCACTTCACTCATGTTGTGCCTGACTGAGATACTCACATATATTCTTCTGTCAATATTTGGAACCAGAATACTGAGAACAATGATCTCAGTCTTACACTTTTTTCCTTGCCAGATGAAGAATTCATGCTGGCAATACTTTATTTAGATAATCATTGTTAACTTCATCTCTTGGCATGAGATCTGACTGACTGAGGCAGTATACCTAATTTATCTCAAAGCCCATCTATCATGTTGTATCAGACTATCATATCATCAGAGATGTTTTTTTATCCAGAAGACAATATTTCACAGCTAATTCCAGTTTCAACTCCTAAAGGCACTTATATAAATAACAGCATTCTCATTGTTGGTGGAAGAAAGATTATCTTCTATGTGTTGAATAATATACAAGCTCAGAAGAAAATTGAACAAAAGAGGCAAAAATCAACTGCTATGAGGCAGAGTGAGAGTGAAGACTAAATAAAGAACATCATTGCTAAGGATAAAAAAAGAAACAATAGGATCAGATAAGTGAAAAGGATAGTTTTATAGCTGTTTGGCACTATCACTGCATAGGGGTTCTTTCACTTGGACTTGGGATATTCATATAATAACATGTGCTTTAGAATCTCATCAATTAGAGATGATGCATTCAAATTCTTAATCAGTGACTCTTTTGGATATTTATATTTACTATTCTTGGTAATATTTGATAAGCACAGCTTTGTTCTCATTCTCTTTAGAGAGATTAGTCCTGATGATGTTACCTAGTAATCCCTCCACCCTAAGCTGCTTTTTAGACATCATCTCTAAGGACACTTATATATATCACCAACTAGATTGTCTACTTGAGATCTTTCAAAGGTGACTCTCAGCTTAAAATTCATAATTCACTAGTGTCTTCATCTTCTATAAATATCACATGCAACATCCTAATGATATCTACATTTGTGCTTGTCACCTCCAGTAAAGAGAAATAAAAGGCCACTGGTGATGAGCTACCTAAAGAGAAAAGAAAGATGATCAAGAGTGAAGAGTCTTACTTTGAATTGCTTTTATTCTTCAAAAACATTGCACCTATCATAGATGTAGTCCTAGTGGATCTGTAGGATAGTAGTCATGTTAGTGCTTGCTTATAGCTCACTCCTGTTCTCTCACCCTCTTTGTAGTGTCAAGTTATGATATATTCTGATGGCCAAAATACAGATTCAGTCAATATTATCAGAGCAGATGTAGATTTTCAGGAACTTGCTTCAATCATTGGTCTCATGAATGTGGTCAAGATATGGCCTGTCAGAGATGAATACAAAGAAATCTTACACACTGGAATAGTTGTTTCAATCTTAGAAGAGACTCATTTCTTGAGGTTCAATTCTTTTCTGATGCTTGTTGATAGGCTTGGTAACAGCTAAGTGACTAAGAGAAGTGAATGAGGAATGAACTCTCAAACACCAACACCTAACCACTCAATACACAATCACCAAATACAGTTGAGGTTGGTTGTTTCGAGTATGATAGAAGCACTCTTGCAGTCTTAAGTAAAATCAAAGAAACAGTCAATAAAGACAGTTATTTAACTCTATCTTGCTTTCAAAGATGCAATACTCATGAGAGTAGTTTATAGCAATGTTTAAGTATAATTAGGACTTAAAATAAATGCACGATTGCACTCCAAATCAACTTAGAATATTCTGAAACCCAAATACTAAGTCTATCAAGCACTTAGGCTTGACTAGCTGCACTCTTGACTGGCTAGCAGTTCTCAAAACCAAAGAACTTATATTCTGATGCTGAAACCCTTATAGTTTGAAACCCAAATTAATCCAAAATCCAAAATACAGTTATTATTCCAATCCAATCCTCTCTAAGTGATAAAGCACCTTAAATAAATCACTAAGTCAAAGCAGAACTCAAAATCTGTTGTTTCAGAGACTAGCTACAATGGGCTAGAAGGCCTGAACACAGGGATGGGTCGCTTGCTTGCTATTTCCCCCCCATTCCCTTCTTTTATACATCAACAACAGATACAGAATCTATAAATAAAGCATTTAAAATAGTATTTCTTCTGTTTAAAGCAGAATCACACCATTATTCCAGAATGGCGGCACTCCTGAACTCCCCTAGGCTTTCCCAGACCCACCTGGCCACCACACAGCTTTATTTTAAGCCTACAGTGCCTGTGGGTACCTAACTCCTTTCTGTCTACTCAGAGTTTTAATCCTCTGAGTTATTCTTAGTAGCTCAATCAATCAGGCCTGGTCAACTGGTCCTATCCACTCTATTCTTCTCAATTCTAAGTCTCTTAGATCATCTGATACCTAGAAAATTTAGACTTAGGCATTTGAGTTAAAACTCAGAGTATTAGCTACAGATCATTGGGTCTCTCTTCTTACTACTCTTAGATGATACTGTCTTTACTCAATACTCCACAACTGGCTATGGTATTATCTCTAGCTGTCTTGGAATATACTTGTCCTAGTAGCATGTAGAATTGGCCCTAGTTGAGATATCATTTTTAAGTCCAACTTGGACTTACAGTTGACTATCTCACAATGCATGATGTCGAAATGCATAATTCTGACTTTGCATATGGATTGGGCTGGAATGTAGTTGGAGAGCAGGGAAATGGGCTAGAAATGCATAATGCATAATGCATATGGTTCTAGTTAGGAATATGCATTGTCAGATCAAAAATTATAGTAAGCTGATATGATATTATATATATATTAGAACAATAAAGAATATAATTTGTTTGTATAGACTATGACAAATACAAAAAAAATTATTGTAAAGCGATGCAGCCTATATCTCTATAAACATGCCTCCTAAACCAACACAAAAACCATATGCTAAATCTGGAAATCCATATGAGCATACAAAACAGAAGGAGAAAGTCCCAATATACACATCATCAGCTCAGCCTCCAAAGCAGATCTCCCACTCACACCTCACAACAGGAGACTGGCTCATAGTATTCAAACACATTGATAACCATCCTTCCCATTGATATGCTGATATTGTGGCACATTTCACAAACCAAAAAGAAGGTGCACTGCTCTTTATCCAATCAACTCTTTCACAGAAACTGGCATCTCATACAAAAATCGAACAGTATGCAAATAAGAACCCTAATACACTATCATCCAAAAAGTCTTGTATTGTCACCTGACCTGATGTGGAGCATGCTGTTGCATCCTGGTATCAGAACATGCAGCTCCAAGATGAGACTGTGACTGATGCAATGCTGATAGAGAAGTGAAATCAGATTGAAAATCTGATGAATATTCCAGAGGATCAGTGTTTGAAAGGAGAGGGATGATTGAGGTTATTCTGCAAGGCATGGAAGATTCAGGAGATTTGGCAGCATGGAGAAGCAGGCTCAGTGGATATGATAGCAGTGAAAAAAAAATGTGTGCATCTTCACAGCATTATGGTAAAATATGCAATGCAGGACAGATGGAATATTGATGAATCTGGTCTTGTCATCTTTGCCATCCCAGATTATACCTTGGCATCTGGTCCTATGAGTGGATGAAAACAGGACAAGTTCCATATCACTATGTGTTTTGCTGTGAATGCAGATGGAAGTGAGTGAATACCAGTTGTTTTCATTGGCAAGTCAAAGCAACTATGGTGTTTTAAGAAAAAGAGTCCAACAGCAATGGGATTCTATTATTGGAATAACAAGAAGGCCTGGATGACAAGCAAAATATTTATGGAGTGGATGAAGATGTTTGATTTAAAGATGAAGAGGGAGATGCAGCAGGTTCTGCTGACCTTGGACAACTTTTGAGGGCATTCCATTGCTTATACACTCTATAACACAAAGCTAGAGTTCTTCGAGCCTAATATAACTCTATATGTTCAGCCACTAGATACTGATATTATCTGCTGCTTTAAAGCACATTATTGGAATGCCATGTATATCTGTGCACTTGATCTTGATGATCTTGAAGAGTCTGAGATCTTCAAGCTTGATCTCCTTGAAGCTATGACTATTGCTCATGATGCTTGGACAAATGTCAGCAGTGAAATGATAGCAAACTGCTGGAAACACACTGGTATAATGCCTGACAATGCACCCAAGTCATGGTCTACCACACTATCCAATGATTTCCAAGATGCCTCACTCCTTAAGTCTGTATGGAACCTTGTTTGTGACTTTGCCTCAATAGACAAATACACACTTCCAGAGATCGAACAAGTATTGCAGGATCTGCTTGGAAACCAATATGCTGATGCTGACTGGCATCCTACTCTTATGGCTGTTATGAATGCAGAGAATGATGTTGGTAAAGCACTGGAGACAGTCAATCAGTTGGCTTCTTCATCACAGTCAAAAATGAATACACCTCTCACCCAAATTGCCCCCATTCAACAGCTTCAGACAGCAGAGATAATGTTGAAGGACCATCTTGTCAAATTGAAACAATGAAATTGCATGTTTGGTCCTATTCCAACCATTGAAGAGATGGTTAACTCTATTGCAGAAGAGTATACTGAAGATCTTGAGGTGATGCCAACAGATGAGGAGATTGTTGCTGCTGTCAAGCATGATATTGCAGTAGAAAATGGGGAAATAACTGTCATTGATGATGATGAGGAGGAAGAAGAGGAAGAGGAGGGTGAGGAAGAACAGACTTTGATAACTACAAGGGAAGGATTTGAGCTTATTCAAAAGCTGGAGGCATTTTGTGTTTCACAAGGTGACCAGGATGGATTAGTACCACAGCTGAGGAAGTTGAGAGGGGCATTATTCAAGGAGATGCATGGAAAGCTGACCCAAAAGCCACTGACAGCATTTTGGGGAAATGACAACATTGTCATATAAAGTCACATGTCACATTATATGCTATTTTGATTCTGCATAAATCTATAAATGCATATGGTTTTGGTGTCTCCCAACCATATGCATTGTGAGATAGTCAACTGTAGTATTTTCCAAGGTGTAGTGCAGAACTTTTCTAAGTTCAAACCTGACTTAGGATTTTTATTCTTAGGCCATGTTATTTTACAAAGTCTCTTTTAGACTTAGTATTGGTGACTAGCATGACTATCAGCTCGGAGCCTCAGCCATAGTCCTCTACTGGCTAATGATCCTCAGTTACTAGCATATTCTAGTGTGTTATGCAGAATTTGCAAATTATAGAGCTGGACATATACTCTGCATATTATTGTCCTGAAGAATTCAGCTCTAAATAGTTTTATCACTAATACACCCACACTTTGTATCTATAATATAACAGCAAGAGAGTTTGGCACTTCATCTTATAATAGTTTCTTGATGATTGTGCAAGTTATACTGTGCAGTGTTTTTCTACTAAATAAATTTATACAAATAAACCACTGAAAGCTGATAGATGGTGTTGAGATCATTGCTGCTAGTGTAAACACCAGCCATATTCTCTTGGCACTTGCAGGAGACTAGTTGCTTATGCTCAAGATTGATAACAAAAAGCTGATACAGATTATGTAAGTGTCCACATTGAGTTTATTGCTCTTGGTTGACTACTGTTTTGACACATAAGACAGAGCAAGCTGTATTTTGCTCAGAATATTATATTTCCACAACTGAAGTCAGTCTCAATAGTTAATTATAGTCACTTACAAACTGACAATGCAAAATTAGGTATGGCCCTGACACCTATCCACTCTGATTACCAATAGAGACATCTTGTGTTTTTTGTATTCCTATAAATGAGTCCAAGTACTTCTCTATTCAGATGGCCACCATGTTTTGACACACTAACCAGATCAAAATATACAACATTGCATCATCAGGATTCACTTTCCAGTATGAAACTTTCCAGCTTTCTGCCACTATCTGATCCATTCTCTTTTACAACTTTGGTACTACAAAGAAAAACAGAGATGATTAGGTCATACCTCCTAGCTAGCTAGCCTGGCTAATGGGACTGTGATATCATTCATGTGGTCAGGGAACCAATTTAGTAAGATAAAGCTTATCATATTGAAAAGCAGCCTAGTGGAGCTATCTCCTAATAAAATCAGAGACAGGACATGTAGACTACTGGTGGTTGCAGACAAAATGATAGTCATTTCATATTCAAGAGGATGACTACAATATTTGCATATCATCCTCTGAGTCTATTTCTCTCAGCTCACTGAGATTATAGGAGAAGACTGATACTGTTCTATAGGATGTGTTCATGGCTACTTTGCTAAATTCAAATGATTATTCATCAATGCTCATTCTTGCCAATGCCAATAGATTGGCTATAGGAGGAGTCAAAGACCTTGATAAACTACATATGCAATCAGTCAGTGCTTGTTTTTGTGTCTTCTCTGAATTAATATTGATCCAGGCTGTGACAGATACCTCTCAGCCTTAACAACCCTATAAAAATTGTGTATGTCCAGTTGGTGTTATCTGTACTCATACAGAATCTTTTTGAATTGGCAATACAGAATTGATGTGAAGTCTCTTCAAATTGCTGGATGAGATGACTTCTAAAGGTGAGTGTTAAGCTCCTTGACCTATTTCACTGCTTAAATCTATGTTGGTTTTGTGTGAATTCTCTGCCAAAGTTAATGAGACAGTGGTCTCAATAACTACACAAAGCATGAACATAAATAATGAGTTGAGAACATTTTTCTGTTTCAGGGCATATAACTATGAATCTGAGGAAAGGGAGCTGACTTGAGAAAGATTGATTGTCCTCATGGCAGATAAATCTGGTCTAGAAGCAACACTTTCTTTTGTTACATCTGTTGAGATAAGCAGATGCCTGTATTCACTAGTGAGAGGCTTACAACAAAGCTCACAATGCAATAGAAATCTTATAGCTTGTCATAACAATGTATAGTAATACATAAGTTCTTGTCAAATAATTAAACTACTCTAGGGAAAACACAAGCATGTATATTCTGCATCATAGGCAGATACTCTAGATCCATGCTATTGACTGCATCAAAAATATGCTCTGTTGGTGCTTCATGAGCAGCTGCATTGCCAGCCTGTCTAATTGGAACACTCTTCAACAACAACTCCAATGACTGGGGCATGAGCTCTGTACCAAAAGTTTGTTTTGCCAAATTCAAGATTTAGTCTTTTGAAAGAGTGCTTGTCAATGTACCCCAGTCTTTAAAGCTGCTCATAGTGATGATCTTCATCCATGCTTTGTCAAGCAAGATATGTTGACAGATCTTGTAGTATGCATCTTTGTACTGGATACAACTACTACCAAGCTAGTAGGCAGAGCAATAATTGAATGAATGTACATATTCCAGCTGTTGCTTTTTCAATATCTTAAAGTTGTGACTTTACAATATCATACTCCCTTCTAAGAGCAGTAAGCTCTGTGACTCTCCTCTGTAATTGATGTGATCTGTTGTTGAAACACTCTATTCTCCTCTGTAATCATTGTGATCTGTTGTTAAAACACCCTGTTCCTCTGTTCAGTCTTGTGATATTTTTCAAGAAGCATTTCTAGCTGGCATTGTATTTTGTGCATGCTCAGAGACACTGTAACATCAATTTCATGTTTCATCAGCTGGTTAGCAATGCTCAAGTCATTTGGGTGAGCAATATTTGATGGAGTGAAAGAAGCAGAAACAGATAAGCTAGGTTCATCAACACTAGCAACTTGGTGGAGGTTATTTGCAGAGTCCATTGGCAATATGTGAATTAAATCATTCATCAGCCATATAATAATAATATGCAGCCAGATAGATATTCTGCACTGACCTGAACTCATATAGGTATAGGCAATCTTGAAATTTAGGCAATAATTCAGAAGGACTTGAGAGGAACACTATACAGAATAGGGACAGTGTTCAAATCAAGATAAGCAGTAAATAGGAGCCACCAAATCTCAACAGGCAAATTTTCTCTGATCTACAGAAGTTGGGTACAATATTGATATTTTTGTATATTCTCTTGCTACATATGTATAACAAACACAAATAACACTCAACTGTAGAGCCTGGGCAATTAAGCATCTCCTTCTTTCTTCATTACCCTCATCTTCTTTCCTGAATACCACTCTTCTCTCATAATAATGCCAAGGCTCTTTCCTTCTCCACTGTCTCCACCCTAAGTGTAGACATGCCAAGGACATTCTTGCTTGTGACAGGGCTCACATGCAGAAGCTCATATCTGGCATACACTCTTACAGACCTCTTGTTATCCAGGAGATATGCAAGAGAGACTGTCTGAGTTGCACACTGGCTATTCTCAGTCTGGCCAGACCAACAATAGTAATTCCATTGACATGACAGATGCAGGTGCATGCTAGTATTCAGTCATTACTTATACTGCTGTAGTAAAGATCAGAGAGCCTGATCAATCTTTCACACTTCTCATTGATACATGTGTGTATTCTATTAATATTATTGAATCCTGCCTCTTTAGCTTCCATATTTCACAGAAAGCTCTAACATCTGAGTGGGCACTGACAAGAAATACAAACCATTGCTTTTGTCCAAAAAGTGTCTCATATTACTTGTTCTTTCTTTATAAGGTACCAACTAATTTTGTTTCCTTTAGCACTTGGAAAACTGTTGTATGTGTTCTACATACAATGACAGAGTAACTGCTTTATGCACATCTTCATCTATAAAATGTTAGCTATAGCTCTGGCTTCTTCACTGGAATAGAAGGTAAATTTTTTTCAGGAGTTTCATCTGATTCCATCAGTGCCAGCATCTTGTTGACTCAGTCATTCAGTGATCAATCAATGCAAGCTCTCCTCTGACCTTGTTATTGACCAACAGTCCATCAGTTGAGTTCATTGATTCATAATGGTTTGTATATTTCAATATGGGTGCTAATTGTAGTTTTAAATATACAGATTGCTTCTGCTTTCCTCCAGAGGTTCTGTAGTGTTTGTAACATGATGAACAGTTATGTTAGACTGGCTAATACCTCTCACACTCAGAATAATATTAATAACTTATCTCTTATTCTACTATTCATTTCACCCAGTACAATTGTTATTCATATATAATGAGTAATGAATGATGATTGCTTGTTCAATGACTCTATTTCAAGTATATACTAGCTATAGATGGTGTTTAAACTTGCTGAGAATATGAGTGACTATATGAAACTAGGGGTTAAGACTGAATTCAGAGAGGAGCACATCAACTATCAACTCTGAACCTCCAGTAGAGAGAAGGCACAGCAGGTGATACATTATTGCTCAGGATATTCTATCATTTGAAAGGGCCAAAACTATCTCCTATGAAATCAAAGCAAAATGCATCTGGCAACTAGAATTGTAGCAAATGATGGAACTTCTTGTTCCTCAACTATAAGCCACTGAAGGCCAATTTCCAAGTGTTGGGCATGCTGCATTGTCAGTATTTGCCACTAAGTAATACTGCTATAGAGATGACACAAATATCAAAACCTCTTCCAATATCAGTGGATTTATTGCTGTAGGAATGCTATTGAGCATAGTCAGCAGTCAACATAAGTGAAGGGAGAGCTCATACAGAGGATATTTTATCATAAATGCTACAGTGAAAATATAAAGCAACAGTGAATGAAGTCACTGGTACCAAGTGTGAGGTATTTCAACTTACCTACTTACCTCTACCAAGTTGAAATAATGCCATCTACCCTTCTGAGAAGCATGGGCAACATGCACACTTACTCTGAATGGAAAGTAGTGCTGTTATGTTCTTGAGGATAGAGACCCAGCAAATTATAAGTACCATTGATATCTTTTCTAATTGATTGATCCAGATAAGAATCTGGAGTAGACAGTATATTACCCTGGCATACATACAAGAATAGAACATCTTGTATTCTTGGTCTCCAGAGACAACAAAGCTGATATGCTATTTTGATAGATGCTGAAAATGATACTAAGAACTCAAGGGAATACTAGGCTCTCTCATCAAGAAAGGCTGTTTGTAGCATAATATACATCTCCATGTAATGAGCAAAAGAGCTCTGCAGCTAAAAAAACAACAATAGAGTAAGAGAACAAATAGAATAGACCATGAGGTGATAAGCTGATAGTAGTTACCCAATCTGATTGATACTTGTCAGATTCTTAGATACATGATCACAGTTTTGCAGAATCATTACTCTCTTGCTTGAGGTTGACCTCTGTGGAGAGGCTCAACAATATTTGATTAGCAACAGCCAAGCAAATTTGATTGTTCCACTAACTGTCAACCTTGAAACCTTCTCTAATGTCTGACAGTGCACTCTATAACTCCACATATGTTTCATGTCTTCCTTGAGGGTCATTCACAAAATTTTGGCACTAAAACATCTCAATTGTCTGAGAAGCATGATCTTTGGATGAAGGAGAGATCAGAAACTTAAACTCAAGCATTATGACTATTGTGGAGAACCAGCTACAAGTGTCATATGTAAAATCACTGCAATGTAAGAATGACACAAAGATGCTTACCCCCATCTGAGCACTTGTGATTCACTCTTTGATATTAACATGAGAATATTCAAGAACACATCAGTAAATAGAGTAAGTGGAGGTGTCATTATCTGTTCATTTCTGTCCATCAGACAGAACCACATTCCACTCTTCATGCTACCACCACTGATGGTTGTTTCATTGGTATGCATAAGGGCTATCCAAGGCAGCCTTGGCTCAGATCTCAGGCTCCTGTGTATATTGAAAGTATTGTCTAAATTTATATACATCTTGAATCTTCTCTAGTTCTAATGAGATGGTAGATGGATGTCAATATAAAGGAACACATCATGCATAAGGTGAAAGAGGAGGCAAGAGACTTGTTTAGAGAATCTGGTGGTGGGGAGAGGATTCCAAAGATGAGGTGTGATATGATAGCAGTTTTGCTCTGAAATGCAAGTGAGAGGCTTTCTCAGAAAATAAGGAAGTACAAACATTCTGTATGAGCTCTGCCACAAGGTTTGTGAATCCTTCCCCTTGTTTCTGAAATTGCATATGTACATAAAAGGCAGCAGCTGCTGTGCTATATAGGAAGTGGGTAGTGACATGTATGGAATCTGGATGGGACTTTGCTGATGCTTGGAACTGTATGCATGCATCAATGGTGTTCACTAGGAGATAGCCTGGACAGCAGCAATTAACAATGACTATCAATCACTCCACAAAAAGCACTCACTACCATTGGATACCCTACAAAGCATCTATTAGTACTCTTGCCAACACTATTGACATTACTGTAAATATATACAGCTACTGTCCATTCTGGGTCAGTGACTGCATGGTAGATGGCATATGACCCTAGCACATCCTCTTGAAATTGGATATTGATAGCTTGATATAATAGTACCATTCAAGCCACAATGAGCCCAGGACCTAAGGTTTGACTGTAAACTAAGCTGCTAGGAGAATTTGGCCTGATGTGATGGTGAGTCATAAGAGATGTATTGATGCTATGATGGATGATGGCAATTGAAGAGTGGTCCAAGTCAGATTTAGACTTCATTTTTACTCTGTGAAGATGCTATGGTCTCAGCTGTTACTCACCCTGGCTAGGCTGGCCTGCTCTCTTATTGTTAACATCCTGCCTTCATTGTACTTGGTTCATGACCTGTGACTACAGTCTAAATATCCTGACAACTCAATAAAATTGCCTCATTCCAAAACTGGCTATTGAGACAGGTGGCAATACATTTTTTGTGGGCTATCAGCATATGAGCATTGTTATATCTGTCATTGGTTTTCTTTGCCTGAATTTTATCTAGTTTTTCTACAGAAAATTGTAACTGATACTATAGTCTTCAACCAAAGGTGCACTGTTAAATAATTGCTGTTTTCACCAGATGCTCTACTGGATTTATATCCACGCCGCTGTGAGCGCATTAATCCTTAATATCCATTTCTGGGTAGTGTCACCACAGACCGTAAGATGTAGCTCCTACTGGTATTTTATACTATTACTAGGGGAACAAACTGAGTTAAAACAAACCTTCAGGTTTTGCCGGAGTCCGGACCGGTATCCGCTAGTGCGCCTTTTCATGCAGAACAACCGGTGTCGTTTTGAGCAGTACTACCTTCATGGAAAACGACCTAGCAAAGTATTTTGTTTAGTGTGGATGTTTTTATTATAACTGGGTTTCACAAAAATATTCAAGTACATACTCCTTTTGTTTCGGTCTTTCAAGTTCGGCCAGTTTCAAGCCAGTTCTTCTTTCGCAAAACTTAACCAGCTTTTGATCCTCCTTTCACGAATCCTAGATCTTGTCGGTCAGGAATCAGAAATCAGATATGTCCGAAGAGGGCGTTTTGAAATGCCCGAACGACTGAACAAGAAATTCGAATGGTGGCAGTTTAGTTGTGCGACACGTCAAACCACTATTTCGGTCTCCGTCGTCGATCTCGCTTATCTGATGTGTATACCAGAATTTCAAGGCAAGAAATGGAGGGATTGTCCGCCGTCTCGACAATTGATAATGATCAAGCGTCCAGATATCTCATAAACCCCACAAACAAGGATAAGGTTTACATACGACAGTGCATTACATTGTCGAAAGGGAACGCTAAATATTGTTGCACTTATACCTACTACTCGGAGCCGCCATTATTCTGTGCCTAGGAGAAAATGTAGATGTAAACCATGAGTTGAATGAATGCACGTACGATTTTCTTTTCCGGGAGCGGATGTGCCAAGACCAGGGTTTGTTGATTGGTGGTAAGGGTTCGCTGTTGGTAATAGATGTTATCTTCAAGTTGCAACACACTTCTCCACATATGACTCTCAATCGTGACGGCACCTTTGAGAACCCAATACAGGTCTGAAAAGAAATTCTTGAGGTCTAAGAGAGATTAAGCAAGTGAAAACACTGGAGAAAGGTCTCTTACTTATAGGCGTTCTGGCTGCTTTCCGGAAGCGATAATTCAGGTCCCATAAGTCACCCTCTCGTTCTATGCAGCGACTGCGATTGTTAAAATAACGCACGCCTTCAGAGTACGTTGAGCCTTTCGCTGCGGGGGTGATGGATGAAGAGCTCCATATGCTCATGAACTGCGAGCAGCATTGGACCATATCACAAGTGAACTCAACGAGGAAGACACTCCAGGTCGCGAGAAGGCAGAATGGATCGTATTCCAGTGAATCGGGTGGATCATCCACAGCAACGTGCCAGTCCACAGGAAGTACACTGAGTTGCGTCGTGGATTCATTGAGCACTATGGAAACGCGTGTGTGGACGAGCTGGTGACGAGGCAAGAAGGGGCGACCCGTTCTGATGCGAAACCTGATTTGTAGGTGGATGTACTGGATATTTGGGAAACATTTTCGAAATCCGGTGTAATTGGGCAAGCTGCAAAGGACCGAGTATGGGTGCATGGCCGCGTCGTTGTTGGATTCGATGAGGTCGACATGGCAGGTGATAGTACGGGCAGATTCTGGCAGAGAAGAGCGATATATGACAGACTTTGTGGATTTAACGATAGAACAAAGATGGAAGAGATAGGCGAGGGTTGGCACGTAGATATCCCGCGAAGTAATATGTTCATACGTATTCCGCCAGACGGTGCTGATGAGGGGGCATGCAGTCATAAAAACGATACGGTCGTCCGATGCATGCTCGTCGTACCAAAACTCAGAGATGATGGCCTCGACGAGCTCAGGACGTAGCTGGTCGGCCATGGTGGTTGCATTCAAGCCTATCACGGTTCCGATTCCCAGTTCGTACGGTCGTCACGGGTACCAGACGGGTGACGTCCATCCCTGACGCGCCCTTGTCTATCGGCGGAGGGGGTACTAGTAAGACTAAGTACTATTCCACTATGTCGTTTAATATCTAAAATTCTATCTTTTCGCTCGGGTTCGGTTTGTCATTTGGCGCGAGTTCGTTAGGTATTCAAACAAAGGTATACCTCGCCAATGCTCAATTCTCCGATACAGGGTTTTCCGTCATGAACAAAATGCTTTCTTCGATCCTGAGTCTCTTCGCGGTAAGTCTTAGTTCAGGTAGTAAATTTACAGCACCAACAGACCACAGTCAACTGGGCTGTCATGGTCGTCATTTCGGCGTCCTCTATCGTGTCCGAGTCTAGATGTTGACGTGATCTAGACGACGTAGTTGGGGATCTGATTCTCGACGCCTTTGTCACATTTTTCACCATAGTGGGCCTTCACAAGGCATTGAAGGAAATGCTTGTAGCGGTATGTTTCTCATTTTTCCCCTTCCGAATATTATGCTTCAACGTCCAAAGATGCTCAAGTTTGACGTCTGGATGATGAGAATCAGCGAGATAACATCAGGGCCAGATGTACGCGCTTCAGGCTATGGAATTTGTAGTTCCGCGATCCTTAAGGTGTACGGAAGGCTATCAATCGCAAGTCTTTCGCGTTCAAATTATTAGAAAAGCCTAACAATTTTGCAGGTCCCAAGCGGATATGCTCAACTCGCTTGTGATCCTGGAATCGTTCATCATCACGCCGTCGACCCGTGTGAGGGATCTGATAGAGGTCATTGAGGTGCTGCAGGCGTACAAAGAAAGATTGTCACATCTACAAAGCAGCTAAAAGGCGATGGGTCAGGGTCTCAGTTTCACTGAAGAGGAGCATACGCGAAAGCAGATGGCAGAGAAGTGGGCGAGGAGCTATACGAAGTTAGCACCCACCTGTATTACCAGCCGCACTCGTGGAGAAGGGGGGAGAAAAATACTGTCTAGCAGCTACATTCAGCTGCTAGAAGTGATGCCATTTTTTAGACAGATGTGGCGAAGATAGTACAGGGACCTCGCATTTCCAAAGAAATGTGTACTTTATTGAACATCTTTAGCGAGCGGGAATAAAAACCTATTCAAGACCTACCAACATTCACAGCGATGGCGCGTTCGTGGTTGCTACAAGTTAAGAGCGAGTTGAAGCCGCACGATCATCAGAAATAAGAGTTTGCTCACGGCCACACTGATAACTCTGGACTATTTAAGTGAATCAAGATCGTGATAACCGGAAAGATACATCTAAGATTAAGCATGCAATCGGAATACAAATAACAATACTTCTAATACCTAACTTCACCTTACAACGCCCCTTCAAACAACAATTTCCTCGGTTTACTGATGGTCGGAGCGCTAGAGAACAATGCTGGCCTGAAAAAAAATGAGCCCCGTCGTAAAGAAAGAAGAGAAACACTGACATTGAAGTTCCACAGTGAGCAGCGGGATTACCCATGATGATGCTCTCTGAAACACCAGAAATGCTATCGTTTTTTCCAAGCGCAGCCGCGTCAAACAGATGGTCCGTTGTCTTCTCAAAGGACGCCAACATCAGGACACTATCCTTCATCTTAGCGACTCCGAACCGGGTGATGCCCAGGACCTCGCCCTAGACAAGTGATCAGTCGGAACTTCAGCAGGGGAGGACGGAGAGAGACATACCTTGTAAGTCATAACATCACCTAGCAGCATGACATGCCGAGGGTCGATGATCATGTCGTGTGCTTTCATAGTTGTCTGGATTTCGTTGATGATCGTTCGTCGGGCTGCCTCGATACCCAATACCTGAGCAACTTCAATAACCGAGTTGGAGGTCGTGAACTCTCCGACGATTCCTGGAAGAAAAAGGTTCCAGTAAGTATGACGCTGTAAAAGCCAGCTGGAGTTACCTTCGGTAACCATACACTTCTTCAGACCATAACCTTCCACAAGGAGCTCCTTGTTCCCCTTCTTTCCTCGAGCGTCGTCCTTTTCCTTGATGTTTATGATGGCTCGTTGAATTTCAGGTACACCCTAGAGACAATAATCAGGGGGGTGTAGATGCACAAAGCGAATGGCCTTACTTTTACAACGACGTCAGCTAGCCCTCGCTTCAATTCCCGCAATCGGTAATATTTATCCTCCGTGTCAACATATATCCTAAGCCGGTTTTTGCGAGGTAGGACAATCACAGACTTGAGAGTAAAAACGGTTTAGTGCTGTTCCCGTCTTTTGGTCTGGCAGACATACCTCTTGTTTAATCTTCAGCTTCTTTGCGCGAACTATAGCCCACTTGATATCATCCAAAGTAAGCTCCAGCTGAACCGCGTAGTTAGCGACATATATACTATGTGACAACAAGAAACACACCTGAAGCTTCTGAATGGCATCCATATCGACAATCACACCAAGGTACGTATACTCAGGAGCCCATGCTTCCTCTAAGACGCTAGCGATCTGGTGGAATACGTATGATAAGCCCACTTCAATCTACCAGAATACAAGATGACGAACTTCTCCAAGCAGGGTCTTCTCCAGGCGTCCTTTCACGATACGAGCCGACGCCTCACTGTCGCACGTAACCAACTTGCAACTAATAATGGGCGTACTGATATTCTTAGCAGCGTTGATGATTTCCTTGATACGAGGAACTCCAAGGGTAACGTTCATAGAAGCGACACCGGCAAAATGGAAAGTTTTCAAAGTCATCTGCGTTCCGGGTTCACCAATAGATTGAGCTCCGACAGCACCCACAGTAGAGCCTAAAGAAAAATAAAATGGTGTATTAGGTTAGCAAGTATGACAACAACACATAAACTCACCGGGTTCTATGCGAGCTTTTGCGTACTTGGACCAACAGAGTTGCAAAAATGTCCGTAGTTGTAGTTCAGTGACCTTGGACTTGTTTTGCACGATCGCCTTGTCAGCATCTACTCGGATCGATTGGTATCCCGCGATGGCTGTAAGATATAGTCACTCACCAGAAGCTCCGAAAGACAGATCGGTGTGTTCGTCCCACTCTTCATGACGTTCCAAAGCCTCGAACATACCACGGCTTTTCCTGACTTCGGCTTGTCTAAGAACAACGTGGTCAAGAATAAATGCGCGGATAGTTGCAAGATACGCCATCGTGCACTCGCTCGTAAATTTTGTCGAGTTGAGTTCAGTGTTGACGATTTCCGTGACTTCGTATGGCAGGAGAGCTCTGCCGCCAGACAACCCAATTGCCTAGATGGCCGCTTCAGTGCTAGATTTCACGAGTCAACTGAGTACGACGTACACATGCGTGGCTCCAGGCGCGTTCAAAGTCAATAGGCTGAGCGTCACTCTCCAAGCAGGCTGGGTCAAGTCCGTCGTCACCATATTTGAATTGAACAACGCCTCCCGTTGAATTCCTCACTGACAGATCATACTGCGTGGTGAGATCCTCCAACGCCTTCATAAGCCGCCGTTGCATGTACCCAGTTTCTGCAGTCTTGACAGCAGTATCGACGAGACCTTCACGACCGGAAATGGCATGGAATAGGAACTCAGTCGCAACCAAACCTGAGTAGAAACTATTCCGCACGAATCCTTTGGATGGCGGCTCCTTAGATTTCTTGGGAAAGTGAGGTAAAGAACGATCTTGAAAGCCATCGGGAACACGATGGCCCGCTATGATTTGTTGTCCGACACAGGCAACCATTTGAGAGACATTGATGACGGAACCTGGGGGGAATGTTAGTGTGTTTACGATGCCTTCTCTCCGTTTGCTCACCCTTTGACCCACAAGTAGCCATGATGAGCGGGGCATTGTGGCGACTGAGCTCCTTCATGCAAATTTGTCCCACCTCCTCTCGAACCTTTGACAACACTGATGATATGAGCGCTTCAAGAGTCTGCTCTTGGTTACACCCAGGCTTGTTTTCTAGTTGCCCTTTCTTTGCTCGAGCGATATGCTCCAGGCATTGCGCATAAGCAAGCTCTACTAGTCTGTCTTTCTCCCTCGTTAGCTCTGGGCCGGGGATAACATCATTGATTCCCAAAGAGAAACCAAAATTCGCTGTCCAGAAAGTCAGCGATCATTGACAATAAGATGGACAAATATTGAATACCTAGCCATCGAGCGCATAGCTTCGCCAATCGGTTCATTGCAGCGGCGGCTTCATGAGGGCCATAATCTCGCATAATGACGCCAAAGATGGATTTCTTCTTTCCACTACCAACAATAGCCTTGTCCATGACTCCGCACATGATCTCGCTGTTGACGATAACTAGCCAACCATCGTTCGGCGAAAGATCGTTAACGACGTGCATCCGCTTTGGATAATTGGCGGCTTTGGCTTCCTCCCATTTATTGCACTTCGATTCTACATTTACGAAGACCTTCGACTGCTTATTCGGACGCATCAAGACATTGAATATCTGCTTCCCAGTCCATAGCCTGACCGGCTTCCAGATGGTTGGAGGGGGAATATCAATTTGTATGTTGGCATCGGCAAAGTAGCAACATATCTGAGTGAATTGACGTCGGTCGAAGAATCGGTCTTTCTGAGAGATCAGATAAGATGCTGTGATAAAATCCTGGATGGCGGCGATGACGGGATCACCATTACGAGGTGTAACAAGATTGTTTTTGACGCTCATAAGTTCCAAAGCCTCAGTTCTCGCCTCTTCCGTTTGGGGCACGTCTGTAGAACATGTCAAAACTCGTGGAGCTTCAGATGAATATGTCACCGACGTAGGTTCATTTCATCTCCATCAAAATCAGCGTTGTATGGTCCACACACACATTCGTTCAGACGGAAGGACCGCCATGGACGTACTTTGACCTATGCAGATATGAGAGGTACTTTGGAGGGTATATCACGCGAACATACCCTATGACACATGATGGATAGCTAGAAAGACGTTGGCATAAGGAGCACGAACATAAATAGTACTGGCACACCTTGTGCAAGCTTGGCTGCCGATTGAATAGAACAATATCTCCGTCAATGATATGCCGTTCTACAACATCACCAATTGCCAACCCATCCGCCACGGCATCTCTATTCCCAAACTTCAAAAACTTCTTTACCGTGTCTCTCGCGACGAAATTGGCACCAGGATGGACGTCTGGGCCATTTCTCACCGCTCGCCGGAGCATTGCGACATTATGAGAAGTAACGCGCTCCGGATATGTGAGAATCTTGGCCACTCTCTCAGGCACAGCAACTTCATCGATTCTCAAATTCGGATCAGGAGAGATGACAGTACGACCAGAGAAATCGACACGCTTTCCCGATAGATTTCCACGAAAGCGGCCTTGCTTTCCCTTGAGACGCTGTACGAAACCGCGGATAGGCTTCTGCCCAGGTTGAGTATTGACACCTGGAGTTTCAGAGTTGACATAAACAGCGACGGAGAGCTGAAGAAATTCCCATTGTTCCTAAAAATGCGGTGAGATAACAACAGTTGCACGGTTGGGGACGAATCAAACCATAAATTGAAACGTAGGTGTTCCTTTCGCCAGGCCTTGCTTTATTAGAGCATTTGTGAAAACGATTTCGGTTAGTTTGACGGTAAGATCATCCTCGTTTGACGCGCCATCTTGGGCAACGGATGGGCGAATACAGACAGGTGGTACCGAGATATACTGCCAGATGAACTCTTCCGGTCTCCCGAACGACGGCCGTAGTCCCATGATCTCGCAGTCCTGAAATAGTGTTAGATGAATGGATATTCTAGTGTGATATAATCACCTCATCCGATATTCTTTTGAACAAATCCAAAACCTTCAATGGGTTCAAATCCTCGTGCACGGCCTTTTTTAGAAATATTCCGAGCTCCTTTTGTGCTTCGACAGCTGAAGTAAATGTTTTCTTCCAACGTTCCATTTCATCCGCCGTTTTCTTGGCGCGAAATTTATCATGAATGATCTTCAGTACACCGGTTTTCTTCACGATGCCGTTTGTCGCAGAACAGTGGGGACAGTAGATTGCTTTTCTTGTCTTGGCTTTCAGTGTCTTCAGGAGCTTCGTCCGTTGATAATTCTCCATGTCTAGTCGTCGGAAGCTTTTGAGGAAAGGACGCCTTTCCTCTTCCTCCAGAAGAACACGAGCACAAGTCTTGACAACCGTCAGATAGTACAAAGCAATAATGCAGAGATTCATACTTTACAGATGCATTGCAGAATATCGATGGTATGTTTGAAGAAACCAACATGGAACACAGGCACGACAAGTTTGACATATGCGTAATGACCGACGCAATTCACAGATGATTCGCCACAAGTTTCACAGAACGCGCTTTTATCCGACGTGCCCTATCCTTTGATGAGAAGAAAAGAAGTCAGGAGAGAGCCACACACGCACAAGACGTCGGTCAAGGACACCATCCTTTACTGGCAGCCGTTCCGTGGCCGTATACAGGTCCCGATGAGTAACTTCGAATTCAGATACTTTGACAGTATCCTGGGCATTGAGTAAACTGAATTGGAGTTTCTTTCTGTGTGCTGTGAGCATGACCATCGGGCACATCTTGATGGAATATACATACATGACTTTAGGAGCCTGAGAGGGCACGACTTCCTTCATTTTATCGCGGCGGCGTTATGATTGGGTATATCTAAAGAATATTTTCACTTGGCGTCTCACTATGACATTCGATTGTGCGACGAGTGAGAAGTGAGTTTGACGATGGAAAGGGTGGAAAGGCCCAAAGTGAAAGTGAAATCGAGAGTGACGTGACCGTAACGCGACTTGGCTACTTCGAAGTTTCCGGGACTGCCGTGACCGTCACGTCACAGATCCACGACGCGCGTACTCAAGCTTTGTGGGCTTTCTCATCTACCACCATGTCTCGAACGTCCTACGACAGGTATGCATATCTACTCAATACCTTTGCAGAGTTGCTGACATGTGTTAGATATCTCACCATATTCTCTCCGGAAGGGCGCCTATATCAAGTTGGTTCGTGTCAATCTCATTGACCCGTCGACAAGCTCATCCACCGATGCATAGAATATGCTTTCAAGGCCATTTCTGGATCTGCTCACACGGCAATTGCTGTTCGCGGAAAGGACACCTCTGTCGTGATCACTCAGCGAAAAGTTCCCGTATGCTTCTGCAAGGTGGTATGTACGCCAATAATGACGTTTGCTCTAGGACAAGCTCTTGGACGCGTCAAGCGTCACACATCTCTTCAGTATAACACCAACAATCGGATGCGTGATGACGGGACTCATTGGTACTTGCCAAGGATCGTTTTGTAGCATCAGACTACTCACCCATTGGACAGCCGATGCTAGAGCCCAAGTCACTCGAGCACGCTCGGAAGCTGCTGACTTTCGATACAAGTACGGGTACGAAATTACGCCGGACGCTCTCGCAAGACGATTGGCCAATATCAATCAGGTTTACACCCAGAGAGCAGCCATGCGACCGTTGGGCATATGTTTGTCGTTGATCTTAATACACGGCCAAATTCACTGATCGTTATATTATAGCCATGATACTCATTGGTATAGATCCTGAATATGGGGCTCAATGTTTCAAGCTGGACCCCGCTGGATATTTTGTCGGCTTCCACGCGACAGCCGCTGGGCAAAAGCAGCAAGAAGCCATGAATCACCTAGAGAAGAAATGGAAAAAGCTAGACTCTGGGCGAGGCGCCGATGATGCTGCGAAAGCCGGCAAGAGCTTGAGCCGAGCAGCAGTAATTGAGGTGTGTCTGCAATATCATCCATCCTGCTTTGATTGCTGAGAGACTTTAGATGGCCATTGAGGTTATGTCTACCGTTCACGCGACAGATTACAAGCCAGGGGAAATTGAGATTGGTATTGTGTCGGATGCACCGGAGGAGGATGTGAAGACAAGAGGCCAATGGCGCGTAATGGGGGAGACAGAGATAGAACAACATCTACTTGCGTATGCAGAGAAGGATTAAATGTCTACGGAAGACTTGACGACGATGATTGTAATTATTTTGCATCACCACAACGATGCACCTCCACTCTGTCCTGATATCAGCCAGCAAACTAAATATACGGCGTAATGCATACCTCAATGGCAGCCATTTCAGCGTCGTTCAAGTCATGCTTCCAAAATCTTTCGGGTGCCTCCCAAAAGTTGGTAAAAGCGCCGCCAGTCGTCAGGGTCTTTGTCGAAGATGTCTGTGCTACTGCTGACTGGGACGGTTTCCGGAAACTCGCCGGGAGCTCGGGTGGACCGTAAGGGTGCGCATGAGGGGCTTCAGGTCCTGTACCTTCATTCAGTTATCAGCTGGAGCAATACGGTGAGCATACGTACTAGAAGGCCATACACGCTTTCCGAGGAACCTGATTAGCGGAGTACGTGCGGTCGAGAGTAGACGAACAGATGGATGCATGGAGGAAACAGGAACAACGCTCTCTTCCCGAAACGGAAGCATCATGCCGGTGGCTGTGCTCCAAAAATTTGGACGTCCTCCGAGTCGACGACCACGACGACTCCGATGGCAGAATACGACCTGTCCAAGAAAATCATTTCCTACCTTGACCGCCATCTGGCCTTTCCTCTGCTAGCCCACCTCGCCGAAACCAATATCTTCGCAGTACACGATGTTCAGGTCGCTGAGTATGAGCTAGCTAAGGGCACCAACATGTTCGACTACGCACAGTCACTTTTCGTGCAGTTACACCCTGACGCTGAGGTTCCTGCAGGTGGGCATGTCCCTCTATATTTTATCCAATTGCTAAGCTATGATGGCAGAGTTTGACGAGAAACGGCAGAACGCTGTATCGATGCATGAAAGACTGCAACAAGAAGCCCAGGCCGTGTTCGATGTCATTGAAAATCCTGATGTCGTACAGGCTTTGCGGCAAGACAAAAATCAGAATTTGCAGTATCTGAAGGAGCATTACAACGTGCGCAATTCAAGCCCTTTTTTCTTGGATACAGCTCACTTTTTTTTGACAGGTAACGCTGGAGCAAATAACTGCCCTGTACAACTTTGGAAAATTCCAGTATTCGTACGGAAACTACAGCGGTGCCGCTGACTACCTATACCATTTCCGTGTTCTGTCGACCGACAACGACTTGAACATGTCTGCTCACTGGGGTAAACTCGCCTCAGATATCCTCGTTGCTCGATGGGAAATTGCTCTTGAGGAGCTCAATGGTCTCCGGGAACTTATCGACTCACGATCACCTGCACCTCTTCTGCCCACCGCAACAGCCACAAATGCCTCTGCACCCGAACCAGCCCTTGCCCAGTTGCACTCTCGGACGTGGCTAGTTCATTGGTCTCTCTTTGTCTACTTCAGACATCCACAAGGTCGCACCCTGCTTCTTGAAACCTTCCTGTCACCGACATACCTCAACACTATCCAAACTGCTTGTCCGTGGGTTCTTCGGTACCTCACAGCAGCCGCGATACTCTCCCGGAAATCTTCCGCCGGAGGAGGAAATACAAATGCTAGCTCATCACGGGTGAGAAACGCCATTCGCGAAGTCGTCAAGGTCATCCAGATGGAGGAGTACCAGTATTCGGACCCTGTCACCAATTTCTTGAAAGAACTCTACGTCGAGTTTGACTTTGAGAGTGCCCAAAAAGAGCTCGGAAAAGCTGAGAAAGTGGTCGAGAATGACTACTTCCTACTGGAGTTTAGGGAGGAGTTTTTGGATAATGCGAGGTATCTGATCAGCGAGGCTTACTGCCGAATTCACCAGAAGATTGATATTGGGTGAGTCCGGGTCCGAGTCGCGTTGAAGGCAGTTCTAAACGTGATGAATACAGAGATCTTTCTGATCGGCTGAACCTTACACGCGCTGAGGGCGAAAAATGGATCGTCAACCTTATCCGTGAGACTCGAATGGGCGCGGATGCCAAGATTGATTTGGAGAAGGTTTGTTGTGCTTGGTCTAGATTAGATGTGGTGGACTAATCCGTCTGTCACAGAACGTCATCCAAATAAGTCGTCCGCCTCTCCCGATATACCAGAGCGTGATTGAGAAGACGAGAGGACTTGCAATTCGGACGCAGGCGCTTGGCGCGGCGGTCGCAAGGACAGGTCAGCAACCAGTTGCAGCTCAGTGAATGTTGGCTAGACCGTAGGATACGAGTTGTTGCTTTGGATCTTCAAGGTGCATACGCTACTATCTTTCTTATTCAAGTCAGATGCAATGTACCATATGTCATCCTCTATTCTATTGAACAAGGGCCCATACCGCCTCCAGACAAGTGCCAGGTAACAAATTGAGGTTCATTATCGTGTTTATGAATGCGATTGCGAGAGAACAGCCCGGAAAACAAGAAGAAGAAATGGTCTCTTGCATTCTCAGTCTCTCTTAAAAGAGCGAAATATACATCTATCACATCCATTGCATCATGATTGCTTAAATTTGCTGTACAACTGCTTAGAAATTGTGCATATTTTACAAGCCAAAATTTAGAACTGGCAGAACATGAGACAGGCTGTAAAAGGGAATGCATGTCTCGCAGCGGACATAATTAACCCGAAGCATGGCTCCTCGAAGGGTCTCGGGCGGCTTCTATTCTTCTAAAGTCGTTGTATTAGAGGCATAAAGTGCCAGCATTCAAAAGACGCAGACCTGGTATTATCTACGTCAGTTGTTGAATGAGTACTAAGTAGAACGTCGTTCCAAGTTGCAGTACGAGTTAAAAAGCCAGCTAGATGACTTACCGGTGGATATCACAAGGACTTTCCTGTGTTTTTCATCAAAATATAAATATCCTAACAGGGAAAACCTCAGTATTGCCTAGATGCGGTAGGATAAATGTTTGAAGCGACTCGAAGGAAAACTAACTTAGTTTTTAAAAAGGGCTTCGACGATACCGCCGCAGTGATATTTAAGCGGTGTCAAGTCCCCGTGTTTGTCAGAAAGCTAGCCGGGTGTTCGAGACATGGGATTGCTCTGAAGATAAAGTGACAGACTCAGAGACAAGATGTGTTTCCGGCGCTGCCAACTAACTTGAAGCAAATATAAGTTTGTACAAACGAGCCGCATCAATGTCTGCTTCACATCTACAGTCTGTTCGGTAAGCTTTCGCGTGTGGGTGCTCAATTTATGGTAGACTTTGCAGAGAAATGATTGCACGACGGAGTCAACGGGAATTACGGTAGGAAGTAGCTCGACGACTCGGCATCCCCGCCCGCAGCTGATACCAGTGGTTTCATTCTGCGTGGTAACCATGGTTGAACTTGGAAGCCATGCTAATACCTAAGAGCGTGCATAGGAAGAATAGCACATTAGATGATAATCATTGTCTTCGGCGATAATCAACACGTAGGCCTGCCCCATTCCACGCCAGATTCTCTGATCAGCAAAGCTTTACGTCAAGGAATATAGAAAGGAAACCAAGGCAGGCATCATCCACAACATCTCGCTCTCCATTGCCACGGCCGAGTTAGCAGTTCCTGAAGCCATAGAAGTAGTTCCTGAAGCCGCGGAAGCAGTTCCTGAAGCTGCAGATGCGGCGCTTGTCGATGCAGGTGCAGTCGAACGCTCGGTAACAGACGCCGACGATGCTCCCACACTGGAGGTTATTGTGCTTCGTGAAATGCTGGATGTAGCTGTGATAACCGACGTCTCTGATATCGTTGAATGTGAAATTGGCGTGCTGCCGCCGCTGCTGGTACCGGATACTGTGTTTGAAGTGGATGAGGCTATGGCCGAAGTAGACAATGGCCTGTTCGCATTTTGACCGGGAAAAGTAACTTCGGGTATTACTATACCCTGAATGGAGCATTCGACTACCAACTCTGTGGAGCAGTCAGATTTGAATGCACAAAGCAAGAATACAATGAACGTACGATCCACAACCGTTTGATACTGGGAATAGTCCGTAATGTTCGCCGCAGTTCCAACACATTCAATGCAAGCCACATAGTTGTTTTCAAAGGAGGACGTGCAGCATTCGGATGGAGAACAATTCTTTGTATATAATAAATGATTACAGAAAGCAGACTGAGAGCAAAGAACCTGCTTACCGCACTGACCAAGGCCATAGCAGCAGAGCACGGCGTCTGGCATTGCGGTGGGATGTCAGAATCTTGTCGACTGACGAAATGGAGCGCTCTACTCCACGACAGAGCGCGGGGATCCAGAGCTATTACGCAGGTTTGCAACTGTACGCCGAGAAGAAGGAAGAGAAACGTTGACAAGGTCATGACTGACATTCACCAAGTCGTGAGCGAAGACTCGTGCTGAGGTGCTGGGGGAAGGGATTCCCAGCAGCATGTCAATTAATATATGATCAGAACCGCCCGGGGTGCTTCGGGAAAGGGAACAGAGATCTAAAACGGGGAATTGCCCATGCGATTTCCTCAACATCTTGGTTCTGTTGGCCCTGAGACATGAGAAATGGTCGACCGAGAGTGTCTTCTATTCTAAGTGCCTTCTGGTGCCGTTAAATGAAAGATTGATCAAATGGCTGTTTGAATGATGTTGACTCGGAACTACCTGGAGCTGACGTACTATTACTAGCTGATGTGTATTCGGATGAACTTCAGTCCATTGCGGCCCGATAAAAAGAGACCTTTCGGGGATGCAATCACTGCGAAATGCGAGCCGAATGTTGGCCAATTTTTCGAACTTCAGGAACTTGTTGGGTCGGTTAGGGCCTAGAAGTGATGGAGAATAAGAGGGGAAATTTTGCGTCGATAGCTAGTAGTCTAAGTCCACATAGGCTCACTTTGTTGTATGGAGAATACCATTTTGTAGAATATTCGAACTTCGAAGTAAAGCCGTTGAAGAAAAGCAGGATGATCCGGCTTTCCGGCCCGACGTCAGAGTCATTCCTCGATTACCTAACCCCTGTTTCCTACTTTTCGCTTTCACGTCGTTCTACGTAGCGTTCGGAGGATTTGCTGCAGACGCGTTGAAATTGCCCAGCGGCCGCTGGAATGGTGAAGCAACCACCCAGCTTCTTTCCTACGACTGCCTTGGTGCGACATTCTGATGTTTTCTCACCGCTGAGTTTACCTCTTCCACTTAGGATCATGCAGCTGCAGGAATCGGTGCTGGTGTCGTCGCCACGCTTTGTATGAACCCTCTCGACCGTCTCAAGGTCAAATTTCAAGTATCCGAGACGAACCCAAAGGGAGCCTTCGGGAAACACATATGGTACGCTCTGAAGGATATCAAGCAGCAAGAGGGATGGAGGGGGCTGTATCGCGGTGTAGGTCCTAATATTGCTGGCAATGCTACAAGCTGGGGGTTTTACTTTCTATTGTAAGAACAATTTCATAGCTCTCTTAGTGGTTCTCATCGGATGTCAGCTATAACATGCTCAAAAAACGCGCGTCTGGAGATGACATTACTCGACCGCTCTCCTCTGCAGAGTATCTGATTTGTTCCGCCGAAGCAAGTAGGTGCTAGTTGATAATCAAAGAATGTTTGCACTCACATCGTACAGGTGCTGTGACGGCCGTAATGACCAACCCTCTGTGGGTAGTCCGAGTGCGTATGTTCACCACTGATGCAGGCTCTCCCCATGCCTATCGTGGCCTATGGCGTACGCTCATTTGATTCGTCACTCATTGACATCGTGATTCCAATTCATTTTCCGTTCAGACGGTCTCCGAACTATTGTTCAGTCTGAAGGCTGGCAAGGACTTTTTCGCGGCACATGGCTGGGGCTTTTTGGCGTCAGCAATGGGGCGATTCAGTTCATGGCATACGAACAAATGAAGCGCTGGGGATTTGAGAGGAAGAAGAGACAATTTGAGAAGTCGGGTCAGCCTTGGACACCTGACGTAGACAAATTGGTACGTGAAGCAATTTCGGTCGGGTTTTGCGATTGACGCATAAATGGGACAGTCGAACACCGCTTACACAATTATGTCTGGTGCCAGCAAAATGGAAGCTTTGGCCATAACATATCCGTACCAGGTCGTACGATCCCGCATGCAGGTATCATATCTACTAGCTTGTTTCTTATGATCCAGCTTCGCTAATTCCGCTGTCAGAATACCAATGCAACGGCTAATCTCTATCCCAATATTCGGACTACCATATTGAAAACTTTGCAGCAGGAGGGTATACGCGGATTTTATCGCGGCCTTGGAACCAATTTTGTGAGAGTCTTGCCAGGTACCTGCGTCACATTCGTTGTATACGAGAATCTGGCATGGTTACTCAGATCAACGGCCGCAAACAGAGCAAAGAGGTTGGGGATCCTAGAGTAGAATATATCTTTGTACTATTTAATACCTATTATCCAATACTTATATGGATACCTGTGGTAGAAGGTCTTGTGGCGGTGTTCATTGTTGCTCACCGGGTTTTGATAGCAATATGACTGTCCTGCTTTTGACCACCACGATCTCAAAAGGTGAGGATCTAAAAATGAGTGAAGACGGCTGGTATCTAACCAACACCTGTATCCGTGTTCATCCAGCACGATAATTATTTCTGAAGCCTTGTAAGAAAGACAAGCAAGCAAGGTCAGTACATGTCACGATTGGCGCGAACTTGTCAGTAATTCAGAGCTAGGCCAATGGCTTCATTTGTGGCATTTCGCAGCGCCGTCGTGAGGTTACCTGGCCGCCAAGTCCGCCACTTGCACTCTACGCCCGTTTCTTTTTCAAAATACCGGCTGGAAAATAAACGAATTCCCTACGAAACCCTCCACCTCATTGACCCCGAGACTGGTCAACTGCGAGAGATCGTCCTCAAGGACTACCTCGATACCATCGATACAAAAAAATACAAACTCGAACTGGTGTCTACAAGCCCTAAACCGGTTGCCAGGCTCCTAGAACGGTGGAAAGAGCACGAGAAGTTGAAGGCAGCCAAGACGAAGCGGTTGGAAAGTCTTCGCAAGGCGGAGCATAAGGAGTTCCAGTTCACATGGAATATGGCTCCCTCGGATTTGACACACAAGTTCAATAGCGTCAGAAAGGAGCTGGAAAAGGGCGGGAAAGCCGATTTGGTTTTTGTTACGAAGAAAGGACATAGGGCTCCCAAGGATATACCTGAGAGGCTACAGGCAGTGGTGGATGAGCTGGCCGATGTTGCGAAGGAGTACAAGGGTAGAGAAATTGTCGGTCCAATGGGCGCCATTTTCCTTCGGGGTACAGGGGAAAAACCTGCAGATCAGCCCTCAAAAGAACCACCATCATGACACCAGATAATAATACAACATAAATATTAATCCAAATTAGTGGGCTATTCACTGAGAAAAACTCCTGCTACATGTCTACATATCTGCTCAAACGAAGCTTCCGTTGCAATTCGCTCTCAGTGCAGATTTCTGGCTCCGTAAATGATGAGAACGTCTCCCTCACGATCTGGAACCCTCCCTGATGTCTATCGAACTTCTGCCGCAAGAAATACTGGACACCAGGAGCCACTTGGTGTCCAGCAGTATGCATGTCAGTCACGACTCGATGAAGACTGTCCTTGTGTACAGAGTCGTAGGCTTCGTAGCGAGGACGAAGACCAAGTTCAAGTTCTTTATCTAGCAAGCGAAGCCATGGGCGCCTCACCCCGCTCGTAGGGAGCAACGGGAAAGGAACCAGTGCCTCCAGCACAGCATAAAAGAACCTCGCATCAGCCTTTGGCTCCCTGATCCGCTTCGGATCCACCTCCATCCCCAGAGCTATTGCTTTCTGCGTGAGCTCCATGAAATCACGGTTCACCGACTCATCGCAAAACCAGAGGTAAAACGCAAACGCGGAGCGTCTCCCCACGTCACGCCGAGAGCCAAAGCGTCTTAGACGTATGTTTTTCCACTCCCAGGATTCGTTGTCATAACCCCATCCGTTCACTTGGGGACGGGATCCGACATAGTTGGCCTCCCGGGAGTAGCACGACACCATCACGGTGTACGCGTGGATGTGCAACCTCCAGGGTCGATTCGTAGAGTTCATTTCTGGGATGAAGCTCGCTCGCTCACACCATCTTGCAAGATTCCACACACGCTCGGCAAGACCAGTGTGCCCACCGTGCCGGAGCCCTTCGATCATCGCTGCAAAGAACACCGGCCCATACTCTACCCCGCGCCGGACGTATGACAGTGTTAGTTCCTTGGCTACCTTGCTGAGCAAGACGGGGCGGAACTCCCAGGGGGAGCAGAGGTCGATCACAGACAGCTTGGGAAAGATTACGGAAAGCAGTTGGATGATGCCATCGTAATTTTGGGTCTTGGAGAGATGTACTAAGTGTGATGTAAGAGTGACAATGTCGGGCACTTGAGGAGTGGAGGATGCGGGAGCACGGAGTGTCATGCTTTCCGTCTTGGCACGATAACGCGCCTTCATGACGCGACTGAAACCTGGTGCTACCGGATGCGACCGTGTGGGTCCAAGAAAGACACTAACAGCGTCTGATGATAGACCAAGACTGACCAAATGCTCCACATTCTGCAGCATGTTCATGGCAGCCTCTGTAATATCAGAGCGCTTCAAGCGGGTTCCCGACCGTATAAGAGTATTATACGTCACAAGATCCGGCCATAATGGCTTTTCACGCTCGGTCATGTAGTTGAGAATATGATCCGCTTTCTTAGGAGAAGAACGGTGATGGAGGGTGTAGTGAAGGAGGGAATTACAACTGTGAAGGTCCAGCATGGGTAACTGCTGACGGGTCACTATACGGCATGGGAGGGGGGGATTATTTCGAAGCGCCCTTCGGATGGATCGATTTTTACGAGTAGGCCGCCGTTGTCGTGGAAGATCATCAAGGAGCCGTCTGAGAACTCCGTGAAAGTAATCATAGGCCTTAACCTGCGTCGGTCTGTTGTCCTTGTCCAGTACCCATACTTTACTCTCGCTGTAAGGACAACGATAGAGAGCACGGATGAGAGCTGCGACATCGGGGAAAGGATATTCACGAAAATCGAGAAGGACTGCGAGGTTGGCTAAAGCCTGCAGCGACGCATCAAACTCTGCCTTCGAAGCATCGTCAACGGGTTTTTGAGATAACTTTTCATTAATGGAGGATATGATGGTCTGCAAGGAGAGAGAACGTGGCATGCTACAGACTTGCCGAAGATGCTGATAGCTGGTTAGCAATTGTCGTGACTTCTCCGTTTCCTCGTTTGGTGCCGAAAACCCCAGCTCTTCTGCAAGGGCATCCTTGACTTCCCAGTCATGAACAAGACCAACAAATATCAAGGACGCGAGAATGATCTCCCCGTGCAGGATACAGCTGCCAATCAATGCCCGGAACATACGGTCTGTGCGTTTCTGTTTGTATTTCCGAGCGGATTGCAAGATCTGAAGAGTAGAAATGATGAATTCATCCTTGGTCGCGGCAGGTTCCGGATTGAATACAGCAGGCGTTCTGAGGGCGGATTGTAGCATGATGTACTGCTCTTGCACCCATGTTTTGGGTGTTGAGGACGCCGCGTAGCCCTTGATGACAGCTTCCAGGGTTTTGACATGGATAGGTATTCCATTCACTATCATCCAATCGCATACATTGTACGCTTTCCTGAAGAACCCCTGCCGAATGAGTGCGTGAAGAAGAGTATGCGCGGATAATCGCGGTGAGATGGGACGAGGGAGTTGAATAGTGATGTTTCTGAATGGTTCATATTTTTCAACCATCTCCGGATCCTTGAGGACGGAGGGATTCGCCATCAAGGAGGAGAACCGGACAGAATTAAAGATATGATATGCACTGCTGACGTCGGCGCGTTGCACGGAGATCCTGATGGCATGAGAGGCTGCGCGAGACAGCTGGGCTGAAGAAAGAGATGGATCCAGGGATGGCGGAAAATATGTAGAAGGCAAGGATGGTTGGAGTTCAACATTTGATAGAATGGTCGCAGACCGAAAAAAATTTCTTGAGGAAAGCGAACGTGACAGACTTATAGCATATATTGAGAGCGACCTCTGCTCAGCGGCGCGGTACACAGCGTTGAGCACATTAGCACCTGTAAGCCAATTGCATCGCATATAGCTCGCATAACTGTAGGAAAAAGTTGGTAAATAGAGAAGGAAATACAGTGCGCGACTCACCCAATCTCTGTCTCTAGCTAGCCGTCAGTGGGCCACGATGAGGACGATATTGTCGGAGAGCTGTTGGCTTATGTAACGCAAGGACCAGAGCTTCGGGCCGCCAGCCGATCTCTGACTCGAACCACATGGATTTTGACGAAAACTCCTCCATTCTCTGTGATGGCTGCACTAAAGAGTTGCACAAGCCGTACTTTGACGTTCTCTCCTCAGTCCTGCGCTCTCTACGCTCTGCGAAGCAGGTCGTTCCTTCTGCAGAAATGGTCAAAACAAAGACCAAACTTCAATCTGAAATATTTCGCCTTGAAAAACTCATAAAGGCTCTTCAGTACAGTCTCGGGAGGCTCAAATGTGTGGTTCCTACATATGAATCTCTATTTGCACCCGTTCGGCGTCTACCATTCGAGGTTCTTCAGGAAATATTCGAACAGACTCTCTATTCCAGTCTTAATGACATGTTCCCGTCGTCAGACATAAACAAGACTGTAACACTTACTCCCATCCGACTAGCATCTGTGTGCTTGTACTGGCGGGGGATATGCCTCGCATCCCCCAGTTTATGGAGGTACACGTACATCTCCATAGGTGTCCGGGACATACACAGTCGCGAGATCAACCTCATCAGGACTTTCCAGCAGCGTGCACAGTCCCAGGATATCCTAACGCTGCGAATCCGTTCTCTTGTGAGGAACGGGAGCGACAGTGCTCCAGAGGATGGAGAGCATCCGCATATGCTTGCGTCCCTTCTGCTTCCGCCTCTCGAGTCTCAGGGTCGATCAGAAATGGTGCCGTATCTGAGCGTAGATGCATGTCAGGAAGTCATTTTTGAACCATCCTATCGAGAAAGTCCCGACCTTTCCATCTTTCGTCGTGATAATGGAAACGTAGTTCAATTCTGCTGGCCCTCCCTCAAATGTCTCGGTGTGTTCCCCATTGGGCCCGGGGTACATTTAGACACTTCCAATCCATGTACTCTCTTCCAAGATGCTCCTCTCCTACATGAACTCAACATCTCCAACCCATGCTTCAATGCTCGTCATTTCATTCTTCCTTGGACTCAAATAACCACTGTACGGTTTCGCGATAATCATGATACCGAGGTTGTTTCCTCATTTTTGCGTGAATTACCCAGTATCGAACACGTAGAATTTTCTAGGTGCAACTTACAATGTTCCCGGGGCGATTACGTTGTGCCCATCACTTCCCTGACGACAATACATTGTGATAGGGCTGTGGGGGTGGCCAAGTTCCCCAGGTTGGAGCGCCTTGAGCTTCGTAACACGGACAAAAGGAAACCGAGTATCCTTCTTGAGTCCAGTGCCCTGCGAAGGCTCGCCTCAGACTTGCTCTACGTTTCAGCTAGTTTGACAGAGCTGACTTTGCTGTACGTTTCCATCCCCTACCAGTATCTCCTCATGGCACTCGAAAATGCAATACACCTCAAACGCCTCGTGATTGTTGAATCCAGATGGGGGAATGTTGTCACACCCGAGTTCATTGAAGGCTTGGAGGGGCTAGTCCCAGATCTGGAGCACCTGAAGCTGGTATGGTCGGAGTATGGATTCATTAAGGAGGAGCTGGTTGTTAGCATGCTTGAGACGAGATATACTACTGCTGCGTTGATGTCAGCAGTCATTGGGCCTAGGCGCGGTGGCCTGCTGCAGCGAGAGGTTTTGGACAGGATGCAAGCCTTGCGGGAGCGAGGGTTGATGGTCACATTAAATTGAGCAAGTTCCTCGTTTCCTTCCAATACTTTTTTGTTGTAAAGCTGCAGTATTTATCGTGTTGTTTACTTTTAGAACAATCACCCAATGCATTTTGATTCCATTCTTGACCAAAAAATATCGCAGTTATTGTCTGGTCCTTCCAGTATTTATCTTTCCATTATAAGGAAGTTCATGGACTCGGGGATCGACGGATTAGTTTGCCGGAATTTAGTTAAAAGTTCGTAGGACCCGGGAATCGGACCGGGAAAACGGAAACGCGCTGGCAACCCACCATCATCACTGTTCTTTGGCTAGAGCGGTTCTTTGGATTAAGCACTGATCGACCCTGTAACTCTTCTTTGTCGAGGGAGAAATATGAAGGTGGCAAAAGCATGCGATAACTGTAAAAAAAAGAAAGGTGCGTCTCTTGTTCATTTCTGAACCCCACTTATGATAATAAAACAGTGAAGTGTGAGCGTTAGAGCCTTTTGGGTGACTCTTATGGTTAATATATTCTCGACAGGTGAAGGTGACAGAAATTCGAACCGGAAATGCCAAAACTGCTTCTCCAATGATGTCGACTGCACGTATATTGCCGCTGCAAAGATGATACCGGTAGATCTCAAGCTCATTCTGCGTGTATAGTTGTTGATCTTTTCTTAGTATACTTATTCATCCAAGGAATACATCGAAGACCTAGAGAGAAGACTAGAAAAGACGCGAAGGCATTTGCGCAAGGTATAATCGGCTTGCATCGTGCGTGACGTTTGCTTACCACAGTAACCGCATTCCTTCAAGTTTGTTCCGGATACTGTGATTGAAGAGGAACTGATCGGGAAAAGTCAAAATCAGAAACGGCAGAAACATAAACCCACCATGACTGAGCATGTTTCGAACGTTGGGAACGTTGATATTCTAGCAAATGAGGAAACAGCCTTCGAAGATGACTCGGAGTTGGACAGGCTAAAGCAAGTGGCGATAGATGATCCCGACCTCAGAAACTTTGGAAAGTCGAGTGTGATGTCGTTTACGAGCACGGCCCTGAAGATCAGGCAAGAAATGGGGATTCCTTCAGCAAGAACTTCCCAAGTGCCACTTGCTCGTCTATGGGTCAATCGTTGGGATGTACGTAGGTCACGACTCCTTCCCACGTACCTCTCCCTATTGACAGTCTGTAGATGAAGTATAAGGACATCCACCTTCACGATTATACCTTCCCGGAGCCCGACCTTCTAGATAACCTTGTGGAGCTGTATTTCATTCATCTAAATCGATTCTGGCCTCTTCTTCACCAACCCACATTCGAACGTTCACTGGCTGCTGCTCTTCACCGAACCGACAGCGCGTTTGCAGGTATTGTTCTCGTGGTTTGTGCGATTGGCTCACGCTTCTCCAATGACCCACGTGTACGGGTCGATCACTATGAGTCGCCATATCGGCATGGTTGGAAATGGTTTGTTCAAGTACACAGGGTCTCTGTATTGCAACCTCCGAGCCTTTTCGACCTCCAAAAATGTGTGGTAATTAGCTATTACCTCACCCAGAAAGTTCAACCTCGCTGATAAGAGGCATACAGTTGTCGGTTTTCTACGTAGAAGGCTTTTCTGCGCATAGGACATGGACGATGTTGGGGACCGCTGTGCGTATGGCACAAGATCTCGGTGCACACCGGAAACGCAAGGCAGGATGGTTGTCAGTCCCTGAGGAAGAACTACTGAAGAGAGCGTTCTGGTATAGTTATTCCTTAGATGCCTTCTTGTTTTATGTCTTACAACTTGAAAGGGTCTTGGCATGCATGGACAGAATCTTAGGGATGGCGTTAGGTCGACCATATGCTATTCAGGAAGAGGAGTGAGTTTTTTTATAACTTTTGGTGTTATCCTTATTCATAATTCTAGTAGCATTGATGCAGACCTTCCGGTCGAATGTGACGACGAATATTGGGATGGCGACGAGGCATTTATACAGCCTTCCAATGTACCCTCGACGATGTCTTTCTTCATTTCCTACTTGAAGTTAAACCGCATCTTTGGTCGGTGCCTTCGAACAATAGTCAGTATATGCGCCGGTCCGCGTTGATTTCACTGACTTGTTTCAAGTATTCTCTGGGTAGGCCGACGGCTCTCCGTCCTTCTGTTGGGAAAAGAAGCATGGAGGATATCGTCGCCGAGCTTGATTCTTCCTTAAATGAATGGGTAGATTCCGTACCGCAGCACAGTATGTCTTTTTTTACGTTGTGGTAACCGATCTCACAGTAAGCTAGTCCGCTGGGAACCTCAAAGAGAGAAAGAGATTTTCTACAGTCAATCTGTCTTTCTGTACTGCTCTTATTATCATCTACGGATTCTGATTCATAGACCATTCATACCACCACCTGGGAAATCATCATCTCTTTCTTTTCCGTCTCTGGTAATTAGCACCAACGCAGCTCGGTCCATCGGCTATATTTTGGACTGTCAGTCACGACAACAGCCAGACAGTCCAAAGCGTTATTGTCCGGTGAGTCTATATCAGTTCATCAACGTGATTAACACTAATCCGAGCTACTGAGATGTCTATCTTCTCAGCCGCAATCATTCTTCTCTTCAACTGTTGGAGTAACCCGGCGGCGAGATCGGAAAGTGAAGACGTGAAGCACATCGTACAATGTGTGAATACTCTCCAGACATTTGAGCGACAGTGCGCAACTTTTATCTGTTACCGCAAATACTTATTAATTATGTCTTTCCGCAGATGGTTGTGTGCTAGCCAATTCTGGTAAGTGATGACTGCGCTTGTAAATATTTGAAACCTAATGTTTGGTACTGGCAGTGACTTTATCAGTCATCTCGTTAGCGGTGTATACCCCAATCAACAGCGACCTGTACCTGTGCACGAAACCATTGGTGTATCGCCTCGGCCACTTTTCCATGTATCTCAATGGGCGGAACTGATGGGTATGCCCTTCCCTTCGTCAAGTTGGGCTTCTTCATCCGACGACGCATATACTCAGAATTTTTGGACCGTTGCTGAAGATGCATTTTATCAGGCTCACGACGAAGGATCTATTAGTCTTGTAGCCGGTACTGTTGACACTTGGCAAGCCTGATCTGGGCAAAGGCTAATGTTCTTTATGTGTCGGCCAACGCTCTTGGAAGTGTTGGGATTTTGCTGGAAAGTTCTAGAAAGGGCAATCCGGCATCATGCCGAGAGCTGATGAGTAAGCTCAAGAGAAAGAGAAAGTTGTAGTAAATTCTAGATACAAGCCCGGAGAGTATAAATACAAGCTCTGTAGGAGCTGTAGAATAACAAGTTCATTCTTTCTGGCCTCACCGGCCTGGAGTCTACCCTGTGCATCACCAAGGATTTCCAACAGGAAGGACCCACCGACGCGACCTTCTATTTTGGTGACAAATGACGCGATCGGAAACATAAGTAGATGACGATTTTTGTTTACCATGAACCTCGACAACAAATATACTTCACCGTTACTTTCTCTCTTTCATGTTTCTTACTCGTAATGTCCTTCAATGACAGGCAGGTTGCCTTGACTAGCGCCTTTCGCTCGTTCAATACCAAAGTTCCTATATTTCTGCAAAAACTGTACAAGTATGCTGGCTTTATACATCCCCTCTTCGTGCATCAAATTTGACGCCGTGCTGCCACTAGAATCGTCGACAGTCCAGAGACAAACGAAGCTATTTCCTGGTCGGAGGATGGAGAGTCATTTATTGGTGATTAGCTCAGGTGCCGTTACTCTACCTTTGGCTGAATCTGAGTGTCAGTGTATGACCAGGAGCGGTTAGCAAGGGACCATCTTCCACAATGGTTCAAACATAACAAATACCCTTCGTTCGTTCGCCAGCTCAACAACTACGGCTTCCATAAAGTGATTAACCTTCAACAAGGTGTAATGAAAGCTAGCATGGACATAGAGCAGTCGCAGTACACGCATCCCTGTTTCCAGCGTGGCAAGGAGGCCCAACTTATCCTCGTCCGACCCACCAAGCAAGCGAAGGACCGTCCTACCATTGATCTTGAGCAGGGTAGCTCTTCTGCTTCCTCGGGTACTAAACAACAGTTGGACATCCATGCCGTGTTAAATGGCGTAGCTGCAATCAGAAAACAGCAAATGGCAATAACACAGGATTTAGCCGAATTGAAGCGCTCGGATCGACTGCTGTGGGAAGAGGCACTGCAGTCACGGAATCGACATACAAAACTGCAGGACACGGTAAATCGCATTGTCAAGTTCCTGGCCACCCTGGTATCGCAACCTAGCGGCAGCGGCGTCGCACATCCCCAGCCTTCACGTTTGATGATTGAGGACTCCACTACGAGCGAGGTGGAGGTTGAGGAACACGACGACGACGACGGCAAAGACGCTGGGATAGCTTCTGCTTTGCGTAATTATCCCTTTCAGTTTAGTACCAATTTGCTCTTACCAGATTTACAGCAAAGTCAAATATCGAAATATCAAGTTCAACATCTCCCGAAACATCCTCCTTCATCGCCCCAGCAACAGATTTTGAATATCCCTCATTTAGTCCGACTGTACCGATAGATCCATCAGCAGTTCTACAAACGGTGACAAACCAGCCAATCTCCTCCCCTCTCCCTTCCCCCGACAAACTTAGCTCTATTTTTGACGGAATGTCTAACTCCGACTGGGATATGTTCTCCTCCTTACTAGGCTCTCTCTCCTCCCAGATAGACTTCGGTCAGCTCTCTCTTTCCGATCTGGGCCAGTCATCTCCACGTCTTCCTTTGACATCTGGCGACAATACTTGCGCACAGTCCCTATCTAGTGAAAGTCTCGTCCCAGTCGATGGCCAGAGCCTTGACACATTTAACAAGACCATCGGAGACATTGATAATGCCGTCAATGCACTTGACTGTGATATAGATTTGCTGAGCAGCGCCTTGGGAATACCATCTGATGGCCTGCCAATCGGTGATGATGGGATTGATTACAGCGCTTTCTTCAATTACGCGACCCCTCCACCCGATATCCCCGATTCCTCTGTCGGCACCGGATTTTTGACCGATGTCCCTGTTGGCGTAGCCTCCCCGGCTAACAGCAGCCGGCATGGGTCTCTACAACCTGACGGTCAAGATGTGGATGCTGGACCAGTAACCGTAGGTATAAAGCGGAAACTAGACAATACAGACCTGGAGCCTCCCCCTGTAGTTCCCAAACCTCCTCCGGCCCTTGTGTCGTCTTCGAGCCTGGAGTGAGGGAGGATTGTCGGATAAATGAAGGCGTTTGTATATGTATTTCTAGGTTTGAGGCGAGACGGATGGATAGCAATAGTTGACGCATTAGCAAACGCAGCAGGCTACAAGTATTAGAATCTTGCCTACGCGGCCTTGCTGCTGCTTCAAGTTCACACTCCAGAAAAACTTTGAAGTTTATAAGTTAATGTCACCACGAATTGATGGCACGGGGCCTGTATTCTCTTCGAACTCTAGGCGATTCAATCTTCTATCGAGGAGCATGTCCAAACTTTCGCAAACTACCCCATTACTAGTAGAATTACTTGTCCACAAGCATCATATCTCGATGTTTGAACAGATCATTCCACTGGGCTCTGTAGGATATATCGACGGCTTGACCAGGATATTCGTCGTGCTGTTCAGTGCTATTTGTCCGGCTTCTTCCACAGACCACGAATTCATTGTATCCCTTCTCTTCTCAAAAAAGGTGGAATAAACTTGATCGAAGATCCAAATATTCCCCGTCCCGGATTACGAGTATAAAAAGTCGGTTATCTTGCGCAGGCTCGGAGCTTGGACCAAAGAGAGATCGTCCGTGTTTATTTCTTATGATTACTTATCTGTTGCTGACAAAAGCAGAGTGTATACTATACCTCTGGGATTCGACATGGCAAAGATGCTCTTTCTTGCGCTCGGCCGTGCTTATTCCCCGGAACTTGTAGGAGATTGTTTCGACTTCCCTGACCAAGTCGTGCTTTAACGCTTCTCGAACAACACCGCCGTTGCCACCAGCACCTTCTCAGGGTTGGGGTGACTGTTCAATGGCAGATGAGCACATTTCCCGATACCTTATCGGCCGACGGACGATAGAGAAGGAAAAAGATATGATTCACTGGCACGAGAACTCATGCACTGTGCATTGGATAACACCATCTATCCAGCACCAGGAACATTTCCGAATTCAAAAACCAGGATGACCTGGTAGAGGAAACTTTCTCGGACATGTAAGATATTGCTTTTCCAATCTGAATATGTTTGTCCACATTCCGCTTCCTTTGCGGTTCAAAGTTGACTTTCGCTTCAGATTATATACCGCTATATCACGGATAACACCAAATGGGAGTAACGTTGCGAAAGCGCTTACTCGTTCCCAAGTTGATGGAAGGGCGTAACTAACTTTTACTTGACCCTGCTCACAGACCTCGCCTCAATAAACACGTTCAGCGAATTGTATGACATGTTTTGCATCCTTAAAGACCGGCTCAAGGGTTATGCCTACGCTTCAATCAGCCGTCTTTCGACCACGCTGCCTACCTTGTCTGTGTTTGGTTTTCTTGTGTTGAAATCATTCCCAGAATGAAAAAGGTGAGGCGAAAGAATCGTAGACATGTTGTCTCCCGTAAATCTGTGTCTGCAGGTCCATCGAACGTGCGTACGCTTTTAGAGCTGTGTGCTGAACTCGTACAGGATGAGATGATTGTCATCTGTTGTAACATTCATGTCCGAGGTACTGATCTCCGACGATTCCCCAGATACTGATACTGGAAAGTTATTGTCGCCTGGTTCCTTCCTCATCATGTAGTTCAAACTCCTCGCTGTGATCCTTACCCGTATGCTTCTTGTTCGCTGTACCAGGCACAGATGGGTCCTGGCATTTCTCAGGTTATAATTTACCATTTGGGCGTCACTGTCACTGGCCTTAGCTCTGCAGGTCGACTCCTTCGCCTCCTCGACGAATCGTAATGGTCTCAGCTCGCTAAAAGGATTGGAGGTACGGGCATCTGTTCTTCCGCATTGACGTTCAATCCCTGAATTCATATCTGCTTGATGCGTACCAAAGACCGCAAGTTCCTCTCTAAAATTGTGCTCGACTAACTCACACTGGTAGTGATCTTGTCGGTACTCTCCATCTTCTCCGGCAAGAAGTCTTAACAGGAATCTTTCCCATGCCACTTGTGTATCAAACGACAAGTCAACCACCGCTCTCGACGGGCGATATTAATACCAATTCTCCCATTCTCCAGGTACTTAACAGCCTGGTTCGGAGTCCTACATACCCATCAAGTCAACGCAACAACATGCAGTTCAAGCTCCTCCTCTCTGTGATCCTCACTCGTGAGTTTCCTCTTCCACAGCTCCCGTGCCAGAATTGACTTTTTGAAACTTAGTGGCCATCACCGTGCTTGCTGTACCAGAAGAAGATGGCACTCGTCCGGGTCATTCGCAGCGTACAGTCAATGAGGTTGGTACTGCATATTTTGAGCCTGAGGAAGGAGCTAATTTTTGGATTTTACTTAGGCTCGACCATCAGCCATGATGTGATCTCCTTAGATGGTTGCAATTTTTTTCCAGTGCAGATCTTATTTTCGGTGCCGATAATGAAAAAAAAAGGTGTTTTGATCAAGCTATTTATGGATTTAGCAAGCACTGAGTTTCCCACTTTTGATCTGCGGAGAGCTACCGCCATGCTAGGAGAAGGGCTTTCTGAACCTTGGCAGGCTGAAAAGAACAACGTCGGAATACCCGTTCCTTTGAATGGCTGACCTGGTCATCTGATGAAATTGATTGAGCTCAATAGTACTAGTGATGTGCTAATCACCAATGCACTAAAATTCAAGCAATAGTTTCCAGCATGGCAACAGAAGCAGTAAAACAGTTATATTCTTCCAAATCCGTCACCCATGTATGAGCTCGAATCGAACAAGCTCTTTGCGCGCAGTCCTGATGCGCCATCATGTTGTGTGATAAACCAGAGTTTGGGGAGATCCTAACAAATCCTGCCGTCACGCAGCCAGTAGAGAGAAACAGCCGAGCAGGGTACTAATTGTCAGTACATACATAGAGATAATAACATAAAGAGTCGAGGGACAGCATGTGTAATGTGCCGAAGTAAACGAAGCCTTAGTCAAAAGCGGCGCCGAGGAAATGGGGGGCGATAACAGAGGTCTATTGAGGAAGAGGAAGATTAGAGAGACAACTAGCAAGTGCTACAAGTCAGAATGATCCTCACAACTTGAAACGAGAGCGAGGGTTAGTAGCACAAGCGGCTTCAAAATCCGATGCCAAAGACACTAAGCATTGAATGCATTTAAGCAGCACCTATAATCTCTAGGCACTCGACAGGTACTCCATACCAGTGCTAATAAGAGGCTCTTCGCTGTCCACTTTCCTGGGTACGAATGGTAGACCAAAGAAAACATGTGCTTGCAGCAAAGATTCCCTCTAATAGCCGGCCAGCACCTGCAAATTGCACGCAAGAAGGGGGACCTGGGATCAGTTGGAAGCACACATAGATAAAATTCTATGCACGTCTCTTGATGGGCAAGGAAGTTGACCTGAAGTTAGTCCAATCCTTCATGGCGCCCAGACCCAAAAGGTACTATTGCAATAGTGAAGCAAACCTTCAGATTCCTCTAGGGGACTTGAATCCCATGATATGCTCTACCAACTGAGCTGAGAGGAATTGCTTAAATACAAGAGCCCGGGTCATAAAAATACCTTACTCTCATTGCCCGCTCATGGCATGGGCTCGAATCGAACAAGCTCTTGCTCGGACCCGATATGCACGGTTACAACATCCAGATCCCTCTTGGCTCAGTCGTAGAGTGCAAGCTGGTCTTAGTCGATCAATCCGGCTAGGGATCTCTAAGTAGTCGTCACAAATTTGTGTTTTAGCCTCATCATCAATGTTGATATCCCCAAAGTCCTATTTTTCTCTCTCACAGCCTTGTATTGATCCATTTCGTTCAAGTCGGCTGATCAATTGCCAGTCTGTACACCACATGTTTGTTTCTCCATATTTTTCATCGCCTGGCTCCTGTATTTACAAACCTAATTGTGAGTCAAGATCTATTTCTCACTCCAGGTTCCATTCCGATTTTGCAGTGCTGCACTTTGGGTGCTTCCCCACATTATCTGTACCACAGAAACGTCTGATGCCTACTCTCTTATAGCATTAGGGCATCGGGACTGCGCCAGGGTTGAGCTTATTTGATTCGAGCCAACGTAATTTATAATTGAGATTGCATCTTTTTTAGTCCCTCTTACTCCATTGGTAGAGTACGCTACTATTATTGAAGACATATCCGAACAAAGAGATGACAAGGTCAGTGAGACTTTTTTTTTGTCCCATGAATGAATTATACACATTTTTTCCTGATAAAATACGTGTCTCTCGCTTGAAGGGGTGCAATGAACCAGACCATGAGCCTTGGCATTTTGTTGCCATTTTTTCCCCCTGCAAATCACTTTGTCCCAAGCCAATTATAACATGGTTCATTCTGGCTTTTGAGCTCATTGGTTTATGCAATATGTTAGGATCTCTCCGCACTCTGGTTTTATCTCTGTGTATGTGAAAGATTTTCCAGCAGAAGTGAAAAACCAAAAAAAAAGTACATCTCAACAAACTCACTAACATTGGCTCAAGCTTGAATTGAACAAGCTCTTGGTGTGCAGTCTCGCCCAATACACCATCATGCTGTATGCTGTGTGAGATAAACCAGAGTGTGGGAGAGATCCTAACATATCGCATAAACCAATGAGCTCAAAAGCTGGAATGAACCATGTTATAATTGGCTTAGGACGAAGTGATTTGCCAAGGCTCATGGTTCCTCGAAAACGAATTGCTTGATACGAGCAAAATTGTCAGAGGAATGCTGGCATGAGAAAAAGTCGGCCGCTGTCCTGCCTTGGACTCGGAGTGAGCTTGGCTTTTACTGACAGTGCTCACTATTTCTTTGTGGAAGAGAGAACTGTGGTGGTAACAGGCAGGCCGGCTCTACATCAATGGAAGCATATGCTTATATATGAAAAAGGATACATGCACTGTGCAAAGACCAGTCGACATTGGTTAACTGAGCACTGACAGACAATAATAGACATGTTTGGAGATGAGCATCCCTCCATCTGAAAGCATCCAGACCTTAGGGAAGGGATCTTCATACTACAAATTATGAGTTTTGCTGATTCAGATGCAACTATCTTTCAGTGACAAGCACAATACATTCCTCGCAATACATTTGGTTTGACAACTTGGACATAGGCAAACAAAGTGTTGAGATTTAGACTGTATCCAGAGTACATTCTTGTAAGAATTTTAGTCTTTGGGTTCCAAACTCCTGGGGAGTTTCCCCATTGACTTCTCATATTTATACTAGACTACATCTTTTCTAGTAATTTCTACTTAATTCCTTCAATTTTTCTCAGATTCTTTCCTTACTCAGCATGCCAGAATGTCAGATTACTCGAATTCTCTCGCAGATTCCAACACACCGATTGGGATGCCATAGTGAAGAATCCTAAGATTGTCTGCAAGACTATCGGGATGTGGCTAGTGAAACACGATTCGGAAAAGTATGCACACAATAACAATTTCCTTCATCGATCCTGCATCACACTCACATCTCGCTGTTGGATTAGCAAGCAGGAGCTCTGTCGTATCCCGCCAGCCAAGCTCGATACCCCTTTATATTGGGATGGACTATATATATTGAATACAGTCTGTCGAGCACCCTCACCACATTTCTGCTTATCGCTATGCTGTGTGAGAGTGAGTATCTACTTATATTACTTCGTTTATATCACTGATTGGTATTCTGTAGTCTATGTTATAACTAACAGCATAATCTATTAGGTGCTACAAATGCGCATCACTTTCTTAGAGGTTATACGGCTCTGAGAATTACTCTATCCCATCCTTCATACTCAAATGACTTCCGCCATTGCTGCCTTGACTACAGGCCTACCATAGAACATCCCCAC